AATTGTAAAATAGAATTAGAGATGAGAAACTAAAATGAAATTTTCGAATGTTATTTTCATTCGTCGTCTGAATGTTGAGGATAATTTTTCTTTAAATTTATCGCAAAAATCAGACTCATCAACGAAGAAATAAAAATAAAATAGAACAACAGTATAGATGATTCTTTGTTCTTTTCCTTGTTTGTTTCTTTCTTTTTCTTTCATTTTGACATTTCTTTCTTTCTTTCTTTCTTTCTTTCTTTTTTCATTCCTTTTTTTCCTCTATATGTCTTTCTTTCGTTTATATATTTTTTTCTGTTTTTTTCTTTCCTTTTTTCCTTCCATTTTTTTCTTATCTTTTTTAATTTTTTGTACTTTGTTTTATTTCCTTTTTCTTCCTTTTTTTTTTTTTTTTTTTCTTTCTTTATTTATCTGTGTATTTTCTCTGCCTTTCTTTTTTCCTTTTTTCTTTCTTTGCCGCTTTGTTTATTCGTTTGTTTATTCTTTTATGTCTCTGTCTTTTTCCTTTCTTTCTTTCTTTTTTTTTTCGTTTTTTGTTTTGCTTTTTTTTTTTTCTCCTTTCCCCTCTTTGTCTCCTTCTTTGTTGTTTTTATTTCAATTTTCTTTTTTTCTTTTTCCTTTTTCATTTTTCCTTCTTTTCTTTTCTTTTCTTTTAATCTTTATTCTTTTGTTTTGCTTTCGTTTTTCTTTTTTTTCCTTTCTTTTCTTATTCTTTCATAAAATTTTAGGGAAATTTTTCATTTTAACTTTACAACATGCGTAAACCTATGCAAGAAAGGAAAAAAATGTTGTGGCATAATCAAATAAGTACAAAGGTCAAGAGTCAAAAGAAAATTCAACATTGAAATCGAAGAAAAAATTACCACCGCACACAGCCGTACAAATTGCATGTTTTCCCGATGTTGCTGAAGGGAAAACATTTCTGTTTTATTATAAACACTCATTGGTTAAATTTGTTTCATATCTTTCCAATTTTGCATGGTTCTAGGTTAAAGGTTAAGGAAAAAATGTGAAAAGAAAAAGAAAACAAAAAAGGTGTAAAAAAAAAAAAGGCAGAATGGAAATTTAAATTAAAAATGATTTATTTTTTTCTTCTTTTCTGTTCACTGTTCCCCAATATCAAAAGAGAAGAGAAAGTTTAGTTATAGCCGAAGATCTGTCTACTTGTAAATTCCCATAACATTCTCACTACTGCCATCTTTGCCAAAAATCCGTCAAAATCTTCGTTAGAAACAAAGAAAAGAATACTGAACTGTTACATGATATCTGCTCGACAATCTTCTCAGAGATGAAAAAGAAACATGAAGCAACAGAAATGTGGCTCTACAGAAAGATGCTGTGGATACCATGGACCGAAATGAGAAAAAAAAAAAGAAACATATTTAAAATGAAGAAGAGACAATTCGAATTTCTAGAGCACATAACGAAGAAAGAGGGCTTATAAAATCGGATACTCACAAGACAAATTGAAAGCAAGAGGGACAGAGGAAAACAACGAGAACCTACCTAGCGAGCTTGAGTAAATGGATGGCAGCACAAGGTTTAGAGAAATAACAGAAAAACAAAAATTATTAAAAGACAAATATTCCTGAAAGACGGGAAATTATGGCTACCCATGATCGTCGACGTTCTGAGAGGACATGGAACACAAAGAAGAAGAGACAAATACAGATGAAATGGAGAAATGTCGGATCGCAGAATAAACAAAGAACAGATTTTATTTTGGAATATATTCTTAGTCCTACTTTGTTTTTAATATTCATTAATTATTAATATTTAATTTAAGATCTTCAAGGTAACATCAGCTCTCAAATTGGTATCTATGCTGATAACAGAACCATTTACTTCTGTCTCTGTTTTTTTTAAGCATTCCACCCCGAGCAAGGCGGGAAGCCACTAGCACGCAAGGTGTTACAGAAAGTTGAAGCGAGATCAAAGAGGAGTGATAGAGGAAAGGATGAAGAGAAGGTTAGGGGATAGATCAGAGCATCTGGAGACGTCGATTGACATTACATTTGAATAGTTGGAGATTATAGCTATCAGGAAAACAAGAAATGGGGAGGGAGTTCCATGGGTGAGAGGTGCGAGACATGAAGCTATTGGAGTAGAAGAGACGGCTACATTTAACAGTTTCGACAGTGAAAGGGTGATGGCGAGATGCCAGCCTAGTTCATGAAGTCGGGGAACCATCGAAAGCAGCTCATCGGAGTCGTTACCATGAAAGTATTTGTAAAAAAGACAGAGGGAGGCAACGGCACGTCTGTGAGAGAGAGACTGCAGATGAGATGCCAGATCAGGACCACTTACATTGCATAGCCGTCTTTGGATTCTATCAAGGACCTTGAGACCAACAGAAGGGGCTTCAGACCAAATATAGCAGCAATACCCCATGCAAGGGCGAATGGTTGATTTGTAGATTTGACGGATTGACTCCGACGAGAAAATTTTCCTGGCGCGGCACAGAGAGCCAACTTTTGTTTCGGTGGATGAAGCTATTGACTCAATGTATTTGTTCCATCTCAGGTCAGCGGACAATGTGAGACCGAGCAGTCGCAAAGAGGTGCTCTCGTGGAGTTGAGCGTCAGACATCCTAATGGGAGGCAGAAATGGTTCTCTCTAGTGAGTAATAGAGAGCAGTTTTGGTTTTGAGGCATTAAATTAACCAGCCAATTCCTGCCCCAGTTCATAACTGATTGTAGGTCTTTTTCGAGACAAATGGCCAGGTTAGTTTTGTCGGCGACACTAGATTTGTTTTTGAGGCAGGAGTAAATAGTAGTGTCGCCCGCATAGTAAATCTAATCAATTTGATAAGGTGAAGTTAGCCGTTGATCTCAACGTTGTTAACTGGGGCAAGAATGGCTTGTTAATTTTTACCGACACTAAAACTCAACAGCTCTCTATTAATCATCTGAGAGACCATTTTCTATCTTCTATCAGCATGGCTGATGCTAATATTTAAAAGATTGAATTCTTGCGCCTTTCCGGCTAACGTTCTCAGCTGACATGAAGTGGAATAACTATACTGAATCCATTGCTGGGGCAGCTACTAAGAAAGTCGGTTCAATGTGTCGGGCGTGTGTTTATGTTTGTGTGAAAGAAATATTCTCTCTGTGTTTTACGTAGATCATTCTACTTGTCACTTGTCGCCATGCTCTCGTTGGTAATAAGAGAATCTTGATACAGGCTTGTTGATTGCCCTTATCCAATGCCTAGGTCCGAGTAGTCGCGCATCAACGCAGTTCATCAATGGTTGTCCGTTGACCCTTCGCAGGATGTTCCCATGCGGTTGACTCTTTTAGCATCAAGCATATTTATGTAAAAGTTGGTTCCAAACTAATTCAGCATCTTCATAGATTATTTAGTTACTGGCCAAGGTTTTCCTCCATAGAACCATATAGCTATAACGACGGAATTAAATGGTTAGAAATTAAACTTCTGATTAATGGTTATTTCTGTTGTTTGATATAAAATAAATATAAAGACCGTCTAAAACTCATATAATTATATTTGATATTAATATAGATTATATAATATTATTAGTGTATATTTTCTATATTATATAATGTTTTTTTCCTATTTACATTTTCTGATGAATTTTAAGATCTTAAGAACCTTCATGAAGCTTAAGATTTAACGACTGTAAGCTCCTTGGAAGACTGAAGATTATACTCATGGAATTTCCATTATTGGGTCGTTAAATATTTGAGCTTAACAACTTTAACAAAATATTAGAATGACACTCATAAAGAAGTAAGAGGGTACAAATGAAATGTTCAAAATTGACAAGGTTCTTCAGACGTTAAACACATGAGAGTGATACCACCTTTTCTATCTCCCATTTTTTTCTTTTTTCTTTCTTTCTTTCTTTCTTTTTTGATGCCTTCCTTCCTTTCTTTCTCTCGTTCTTACGTGCTTTCTTATTTTTGTTTTGTTTGCTTTGTTTGTTTGTTTCTTTCTTTCACTCTTTCTTTCGTTTTTGCTTCCTTCCTTCCTTCCTTCCTTCCTTCCTTCCTTCCTTCCTTCCTTCCTTCCTTCCTTCCTTTCTCTCTTTCTTTCTTTCTTTTTTCTTTCGTTTTTGCTTCTTTCTTTCTTTTTCTTTCTTTCTTTCTTTCTTTCTTTCTTTCTTTCTTTCTTTCGCTATTGCTTCTTTCTTTCTTTCTTTCTTTCTTTCTTTCTTTCTTTCTTTGTAGCCTTCTATTTCTTTCGTTCCTTTCTCCCTTTCTTTCTTTCTCCCTTTCTTTCTTTCTCCCTTTCTTTCTTTCTTTCTTTCTTTCTTACAAACTTACTTTCGTTTTTCCTTCCTTCCTTCCTTCCTTCCTTCCTTCCTTCCTTCCTTCCTTCCTTCCTTTCGTTCTTACATTCTTACTTTCTTTTTATTTCTTTCCTTTCTTCCTTCCTTCTTTACTTCTTTTCTTTTCTTCCTATTTTTCTGTTTTCTTTTTGTCGTTTGTGTATCCATCCATCCATCCTTCCTTCATTTCTTTCTTTCCCTAAAACCAAACAGCGCTTTTTTTATAACTTTTCTTCTGTCTATCTTCGCAATTCAACAGGAATTGTTTATCAGGGTTAATGGCAGAAATAAGCAAGGTCCAATTCAGTCTGTCAGTTAAGTGCCATCACGTGATACACGCTTGGGCGATTGTGTCTCTTTCGATTCATGCCTGACTAGGTACAAAATTTTCCCACAGTCGGTTGACATTTCTTTCTGCGGTAGACTGGTTGCCAACAAAGGCTATAAAACTCAGCCTATCCTGCTATTCAACCCATAGATGAGAGGAGAAGCAATTAATCCATGCCTTTCTAGGGAAATGCAACGAACTCGACTGGAATTTGAACTCCGATCTCTATTTTCTCATTTCGTGGTTCACTTACTCCCAACCCTCTATGAAAAATGCACACCCTTTCGTTCAGATCTCGAAAGCCCATATATCTACTCATATACGGTAATGGCAGGGCGTAACGTAGAAGAAGCAAATTTATAATATGATGTTTACGAGAATATGATTAGTGCCCCGTTAGAAACGATCAGATCCACTCGGTCAACTTGTCTTTTGTTTTCTAATTGCTACCTCCTTTTGTGCAGAAGAGATCTCACTTTTTTTTTTTCCTTATGGACTATACATTTAAAGAACTCTGGAGAGCTATCGTCTTTTCTTTCTTTCTTTTTTTTTTTACTTTTCTCTCTATTTCTTATTTTCTTTCTCTCTTTTTCTTTCTTTCGTTCTTTCTTTCTCCCATTCTCTCATCCTCCTTTCCTTCCTTCTATTATTTTTCTTCCTTTCTTTCTTTTTCCTTCTCACTTTCTTTCCTTCCTTACTTCCTTTCTTTCCTTCTTGCTTTCTTTCATTCTTTCTTTCTTCCTTCTTTCCTTCCTTTTTCTTTCTTTCTCCTATTATTCTTTCTTTCTTTCTTTTCTCTCTTTTTCCTTTTTTCTTTCTCTCTTTTTCTTTCTTTCGTTCTTTTTTTCTCCCATTCTCCCTTCCTTCCTTCATTCCTTTATTTATTTATTTTTCCTTCCATTCTTTATTTTCTTCTTGATTAATCCCATTCTCCCTTCCACACTTCCTCTCCCTTCCTTCCTTCCATTATTTTTTTTCCTTTCTTTCTTTTTCCTTCTCACTTTCTTTCCTTCCTGACTTCCTTTCTTTCCTTCTTGCTTTCATTCTTTCTTTCTTTCTTTCTTTTCCCTTTCATAAAACATTTCTTATCTTTGATATATATTTTCTTTCGTTTTAAGGACAATGGGACATGCAAGCTATTCTCTCAACCAAAACATAACGGTTCATTATTTATCTGAGGTAATGGCAGCGCGTAACGTACGGAGGAACAAACAAAATTATAATAGGAAAGTAGTTTACGAAACTAAAAGGCTAACAACAAAGTCTTATTTTTCTGGCCTCCTCGTGACAAAATAATAATTATTTTTCTAAATACCAACACGACCTCACTGATTTTGACTGAGACTATCACTTAGCCAATGTTTCTCTTGATTTGCTCCTTCCCACGATTTGCCACAGTCTTAACCTTAAACATCATTATTGCTTTTTTTTTTTACAGTTTTTGACATTTTTTGTATCAGCGTCAAGTTTTCTTCCTCTACCATTGAAGAGTGACATGAATAGGCGACCGCAGATACTTGCTTCTATGATCATTTCTTTTTCCTTAACCTGTTGACGTTCACATGTTTATTCATTTCGTTTATTCTTTTTCTTTTTGTGATTTATCGTTGAATTCTCTTCTTACTGGTTATTTATTTTTGACGCAACCTTTTGTCTCGGGCCGAATGTTACGACTCAAGCAAAGCAGTGTATTGTCCGGGGTCGAAGGTTGCAGTTAAAGCAAAACTGTGCGCTTTGCAAGTGGAAAAAAAAAGAACGAAGAAGCGGGAAATAAGTGGAGGAGAGATTAAGAAGAAGTAGAATCATGGAAACTGTGAAACAAGAAATGGAGAGCGAAATATATTAAAATAAGGAATAAATATATAATATCTATATGGCTGCTTGTAAAATTGTGTGATGTAGATCGCTGAACGCACTTGACATACTATTTTAGACAATAATTCAAAATCGATAATTCAAAAACAGAAAAATAAAATGAAACATCAGGATATTTTTTTAATAGATATCTCTTTAACATTGTTCTTAAATGTTTAACTCTCCGCTAATATTAAGAAGCATAATTAAAGAATTAGTATCGTAGGGTTTTAAAAACACCACATTTAAAATATTACAGATATAGCTTTTATCCAATGACGAGCAGAGGTCTGGAGGATGCTCGGGGCCAACTCCTTGATTTTATTCCCCTAAGTCTTAAGTCGGGTGGGAGCTATTCCTGTTTCGATAATTAAAACACGGATCCATATTCACACAAACTTGTGTGACTGTAGGGCGCTCGTACAAGGAAGTTAACAGAGACAATTTCAAATTTAAAAAAAAAACAAACCTAAAATCTTCTTTCACTCTTTGATTGAACGCCCTTCCCATAAGGGCCGGCGCACCCTTTGTCCTTCCATCTGTGCGTTACTGATTTAAACTCTTAATTTTTCTTCTTATATATTGTTTTGAGCATCCTTTCTGGTTTTTATAGGTGATGCGAGAATACGAATGCAGATGTAACTTATCTGATGCTTTAATCAACTTAGAATCGAGTGTGTTCCACTGAACTTATTTAAATACCGAATACATATAAAGGAAGATAACCCATACCGGAAGTAGGTTAAATAAACATTTGAAAAAATACAGGAAGTATTATTTTAAAAAATTCAAGTTAAAAGCCCAATATTAAAAAAAATGAAATTTCAAGTCTCAAAAATTAAAATAGATTTAATTTTACTTTTACTTTTACCTTTTTAGTGTGATCTTTTAAAACAATTTATGATCAGTCTGTCTCCAACTGTATTTTTTATACTGCAAACACTGAAAAAAGGTTACTGTGATCTTTGCATATATTACTAACACAAATATTACAGTTATTACTTTACGGTCATATACTTTTAATACA